CACAGGTCCTTACCAACAAGGTTCCTTTACTAAACCCCTAAAATTTGAATTTAAATCTAAATTTGAATTTAGATCACACTGCTCGCTTCCCATTCTCTTCTAGCACTTCCCATTGTCTCCTAGGTCTTGACTGATCTGGCTTCTTCTCTAATCTCAAATCCCATCATTTTCCTCATCCCTTCCTTACTCAGCTCCTGGCACGATAGCCTTCTATTCCCCAACACAGTAAGCACATTTCTGCCTCAGGATCTTTGTATTTGCTGTGCCCTCTACATGGAACACCCTTTTCCCAAGGCTCCATGTGGCTTCTATCCTCAAATGTTGCCTCAAAGAAGCCTACCATGACCACCTCCTGAAACATCACCACCTACTCCAATCCCATCATTCCTTTATTCCCTGCCCGACCTTCCTCTTCCTTATAGCTCTTAGTCATGATACTTAACACACTGAGTATTTGTCAACTGTCTAGAATTTAAGGGAAGTTTTTGTTTTGGCCACTCCTGTATATCCAGAACAAAATGCACGTGATAAACCCAAACCAAACTCATTGGCATCAAGTCAAGTGCAACTCAGAAGACAGAGCAGAACTGCGCCCAAGGGTTAGTTACCAGGCCCAGTCTTTACAGAAACAAACCGTCACATCTCCCATGGAGCAGCTAGTGAATTCAAACCACCAACCTTCCAGTTTGCAGCCATGTACTGAACTACTGTGCCTCCAGCCTTCCTTCTACATATAATGTTGTTAGGTGCTGTGACATCATTTCCCCCTCATGGTGGCCCCATGCACAACAGAACCAAACAGCGCCTGGTCCTCGGCCATCCGCATACTCACTGCTATCCTCGAGCCCACTGCTGTGGCTGCCGTGCCTGTCCATCTCCTTGAAGAGCCTCCTCTTTTTCACAGAACTTCTATTCTACTAAGCAGGATATCCTTTCCCAGGAACTGGTCCCTCCAAGAGCATGTCCGAAGTACACCAGATGAAGTCTCTCAGTCTTTGCCTCGGAGGGGCACTCTGGTTATACCTCTTCGAAGATGGATTTGTCTGTTCGTCTGGCGGTCCACAGTATGTTTAATGTGCTTCATGAACATCGTAATTCAAAAGCATCAATTCTTCTTGGATCTCCCTTAGTCATTTTCTAGTTTTCACATGTGAAACAACTGAAAATCCCACGGCTTAGGAGAGGTACACCTTAGCCCTCAAGTGGCACCTTTCCTTTTTAACACTGTAAAGTCTTTAGCACCAGATTTGCCTAACACAGTAAATAATTTGTCTTTTTTTTTTTAAATCAAATAATTCAGTATACGCTTTTTAAAAATGCCTCCAACTGGCTATAGAGGGACTAAGTCAAATTAATTTAAGTGTTACTGTTAGACATATCTTCATTATCAACTAGTCTGGAAAACAGTGTATTCAAATTTTTTAAATAAACTAGTATAATAAAATGCTTGGTAGGGTGGAGGGACAGCGCAAGAGGGGAAGGCCCTCTTTGAGGTGGATTGATTCAGTAACTGGGGTAATCGGGATCGGGATGGGAATGCCAGAGACAGACAGTGCAACTGGCACAGGACAGAGCAGAGTTTAGGGCTCTTGCACATAGCGTCGCTATGAGTCGCAAGCAACTCGACGGCACATAACAACAACAAGTATAATAAAAAAAGAAGAGTCATTTGCTTCCTTAATTCCTGCTTCCAGGTGTTCTTTTCCCCTTTTTCCTTTTTTTAAATTATGTAATATTTATCTACATTGTTTTTCACACCAAATCTCTCCCATTTCCCTCACCCCTGCCTCCCTCCACCTCTTTCTTTTCTTTTCAATGATCTTTTGCGTCCTCCATGCGTGATGCCATCCTATGATTCATCTGGTCATTAGTGTTCAATGCTTCAAGTCTATTTTTGAGATGGTCTCTAACTGCAGACGGGATAGCGTCAAGGTTGTACTCTGCTAGCAGACTTGTTCACATACTCTTGCCCAGGGGCAACTGACGGTCGGTGCCACAGTACTGACAGCTCTGACTGAGGCTGTCGAGCCTCTTTACCGTCCATTTCTATGTAAGTAGTCAATATGGTTCCTGTGCTGCATCCGGTTAGTTCCACACATAGAGCTATAATTTATGTTGTTAAAAAGGTGTTTGCAATGAACAAACTGTTGATCTTAAAAATTTTATCATGCAATAGCAAACATTGTTTCTATCACCAAAGTTATACTGTCAAACTAGCAATCTGTCCAGAGTGCACAGAGCTGACATTCAAATATATGGTAAGCAATGTTGATGAATTCTTTGCCTAGTCTATGTCAAAGTCTACCAAAACGTATCATCTGTTTAGCATAAATTTGTGCATTTATTCTATGGAGCAATGACAGCCTCTCTAGCACATTCTTTATAAGTTCCACCAAATTACTGGGCAGGAATATGGAAAGGAGGTGTTTATGGCCTACCATGGGAGTATGATAGCTTGCTGATAACATAAATAAGGTATATAATAACTTTGTAGGGGTGTGATCATGCAAATAAGGTGTGTGGAAATCTACTGAGAGGATTGGCTAATTTCAACCGTCCTCAAAACTCAAACTCATTGCTGTTGAGATAGAACGAACTTGTAACTAATCCTCTGTTGGGTTTCTGAGGCTGTCAATCACATGTGAAGAGACTGTTTCTAGTTCTCTCAGAATGCCACTGGATTCGAACCACAGGAAGGTGCAGCCTTCTGGTTGGCAGTACAACTCCTTATAGACTACATCACGTCATGAGTCATCCCAGCTGTAGACAACGTGAGACTTCCTGACCATCAAGAATCAGGAGTGGAGACAGAGATCTATAACACTGGAGACAAGAGAAAGAATAGTGAGACGTAGTACAAAGAAAAGATAGCAACAGAGAAAGACCCTGCAGCAATGGTGGCCGGCTTCCTGGAACAGAGAAAGCTTTGCACCTCTAGGCAGGAGGCTTGCTGGTGAGTGGGCAGCATCTAGACCCTTAGTGGTTCAGTTAAAGAGCCAGAACAGAGCAGAGACTGAAGGCTAGAGAGAGGCGTGTGCAGTCACAGTTGAAAAGGCATCTTGGCTGAAGGACTGAAGAACAGTATCCTGAGTAATTTCTGATTCTGAATTCTTTGTAACGTGTAACTTCCTAGTCTACTCCATAATATACTGACTATCGTTTCTGAGTTGGGTATGGCCATTTCAACGAATTTCTGAATCCAGCAGAGAAGCAGTGTCATAGGAAGGATGGTCGGCATCAAAATTAGTAAAAAAACCTGGAGCAGGGATGCAGGTCTGAACTCTGCTTCACAGGAATCAGCCTTCGACTGATGCTGATCATGATTTCCCTCCCCACCTCCCATAATCAGAGAAAACTACATGCCTACACTGTTATCTTTTTACATATTATCATGATGCTCTCTTACACTCATTTATGATTTTCAGTTGTCCTGATTCCTTGAAAATAGCTATACCAATAAAATACAAATTATCATATTCTACCTCAAAATATTTCATGAATTCCTAGTACTTATATAAAAACATCTTGTACTTCTTAAAATGGGTCTCAGACTCGCCATGACTTTGTGCCAGTTTGATTTAGCCCTTTCTACAACATTCTTCCCTGCAAGTCTCATTGAACTCTCGTATGCACACTTCCCTACTCAAATGTTTATATATTTCTATCAGCCAGGAATACTAGTTTATTTCTTCAGCCTTTCAAATACTATTAATTTTTCAAGGCATGGCATAAAGGTCACATCTCAGTCAAAGCTTGTCCCCTAAATGCCATGGCTGAATGTTACTGTCCTATAAAGGTCTCTCCAAATTACTGAGAAGCAGTGCTGTCACTTTGAAGGCTAAGGTGTATCTGCTTCAGGCCATGGTCTTTTCAATGACTTTCTATGCAACTGAGAGCTGGACGTTGAGTAAGGATGGCGAAAGAATTGATGCCTTTGAGCTATGGTACTGGAGAAGAGTACTGAATATCACATGGACTGTCGAAAGAACTAACAAATACATCTTGGAGAAAATGCAACAATAGTGCTCTTTAGAGGCAAGATGGTGAAGCTTTGATTCACCTACTTTAGGCATGTTGTTAGGAGGGGCCAGTCTGAAGAAGACATCATACTTGGAAAGGTGGAGAGTCAGAGAAAGAGAGGAAGACCTTCAACAAGATGAATGGACACAGTGACTGTAACAATGGGCTCAACTATATCAAAGAAGGCAAGGATGACGCAGGACAAGGCAGGGTACAGATCTGCTTTTCATAGGGCCGCCATGGACAGCAGTTGACTTGCCAGCCCCTAACAACAACACTTTCCCCTTCCATTTCACTTGGATACATGATCAACACTCATGGGAGCAGCAATCAAGAACTCAAAAGATGTGTTGTACTGGAAAAATCTGCTGTCGAGGACCTCTCCAAAGTGCTAAAGAGCAAGAACCTCTATTTCAAGACTAAGGTGTTCTTAAAGAAAGCCAAGATATTTTCACTGGTTTCACATGCATCTTAATGTTGGACAATGAACAAGGTTAGGACCAAAGAAGAGTCAATGCCTTTGAATTGTGATGCTGGTGAAGAGGACTGAATACAGCACGGATTGCCAAAAACCAAACATATCTTGGTGGAAGTGCAACCAGAGTTGCTTCTTAGTGGCACACACATTGGGCATTTTGTCAGGTGGGCCAGACCATGTAAAAAGATATCACACTGGGGGCAGAGTGGAGGGTCAGAAAAAGAGAGGAAGACCTTCAACCAGATGGACTGATATAGTGACTAAAGCAATGGGCTCGAGCGAAGGAGAGCTGGTGAGGATGGCAGCGGACAGAGCAAGGTTCAGATCTGTTGTTCACAAGGTTGCTATGAGTCACATTCAACCATGGTGATGGTACCTTACAACAACATATGGTCCTCAAGTTTGCACATCTCAAACATTTAGCATATGCACCCATTCGTGACGGCCAAAACTTTTTGATAGACTCTCCACAGTATTAATTTTGAAGTAGGAAATATCTTACTTGTTTCAAAGTCTGGCTCAGAGCTTCTGACGCTATCACCATCACTGTCTTCTAAAAGCATCTTCCTTTGTCGTACCACAGCTTTGGATGCTGCCTTTCTTTTCCCCTGAACGTCATGAGAATTCTCTTCCTCGGTAATCTTATCCAAATCTTCAGGAAAGGGGAGGAAAACCCAACAAATAAGAAAAAAGGTTCCATGACATGTAATCCTTAAATGACTGTACATTATATCTTATTATTTTTATTTGTCCAGCTTCATTCTTCATTCCTCCTCTGCCTTTAGTAATAAGCCCAAATTCCCAACCACATTTCTGAATGTGGAACAATATAAAAAATTAATATATTTTAAAATATCATTCTACCAGCAAGAGAGTCTGGTTTAAGAACAAGTCTAAGACCCAAGATGAGACATTCTTTCCCTGAGAACTTTCAAACCAGAGCAGGAAAGAAGCAGCGCCTTTGTTCAGTGATCAACTGCTCTAGACTAGAAGTTATGAGTAGTCATGATCTTTCTCCAAGAAATAAAGCGAATCTGCAGTAAGAGGAAAAACTAGAAGCTGAAGGAAAATGAAGCAAAGGTGAAGAAGTGAAGAGTCTTAATAGATTTAAAGACCCTGGCTCTGGTTATAGTTTTAAGAATTAAAGCAAAAGGTTAAAACCAGGGCTTCTGATAAGAAAAAAAAGTACTATTAATATTTTTTTTTTTAAAAAAAACTTACCTTGATAATCACTGGCTACACTACAGTTAGATATGTGAAGAGTCTTAGTCACTGTCTCTGTTTCATTCTTGTCACATTTTCCAATGTCTAAATTAAGGAAGAAGAAAGTAAGTTTAGATGTACCTTTATCAGTGTCTAAAAAGGAGAAGTTTGTGCAAAAACCTAATACAAATAAATGGTCTTAACTAAAGCTGCACAGTGATTTTACTTAAAAGGCTAGCACAGAGGTGAGGCGGGATCTGAAATCAATCAGACTGGGTTTCAAAACTCAGAAATACTTAACTGGGCAGGTTGCTTATATTCTCAAAGACTTAACTGCTTCATGTCTCATAAGGTTATTGCAGGATATTAAACAAGTTCATACATAAAAATTATTTAACACAGCACCTGGCATATTAGCTCACTACCATGTAGGGAAATCTATGCTTTTGTTGATATAAGCACTCCCCAGACATATTACTCTTAAAACATTTTATTGCTATAAAACTCTTAATACCGAAAGCATTTTAATAGACATTCAAATCTTCATAATTGAAATAAAGTTTAAACTTGTGTCACTCTGGCTGCACATTATTCTCTAGTTCAATAGTTAAGATGCAGTCAGTTTCATGATGAAATACTTTAATCATTCTCTGATGAAATATGCTATAAAGAGATAATTAGTTAGAAGGCAGTTTCCTCAAAACTGAATGACCTGCACCAAATATTCATGAATGCATCTGGCACTTACATCTGCCTCATCACCATCTGATCTGTGGTTTTGTGGACTTAAGCTAATGGTCTGTCATATTGCAGGGTCAATTTTGGGCTCACCAGCTTGCCTGCCATCTAACCTTGGGCTGTCAGGTCTGTAAATATGTGAGTCAGGAGATGCCTCTATCCTGACATCTGACTTCCAGACTGGGAATTTGTCAACATCTACAAGCATATGAGACATTTCTCTGAAAGAAATCAAACTCTTAACTTCTCTCCAGATATATAAAAGCTTAAATAGCTTTGCTGCTCTAAAGAACCAAGCCTAAGATCATTGATATTATTAAATCCAAATGTTATAAAATGTATTATTCTATAAGTGCTATTTCCAAGAAAATTCTACTATATGTTCTTGAATCTTCAGAAAGAGGTGGCAGATGAATTTCATTTATTCAAATATAAGACATAATAATTATTTCTTTAAATTTTGATTCCTGATGACTAAAAGTCTTTTTTTAATATTATTTTATTAATTTTAATGAACATTTACAGAGATTTTGGATTTCCATTCATTCATTATTGCACTATTTTCTCTACTTTCCCCCCAGTTCGTGCCTCTCTTTATTTTTTCCCCTTGAAAGTCTGTTTTAATTGTCCCATTGCCACAGTGCTTGTCAAAGCCAGTTCTAATTAATCTCCTTTGTGAGTGTGTCCTTTGCCATTCCCTATCACTCCTCCCTGAGAGAGATTTCACCCTGATTCATAAGGAAAAGGGGACAGTGTATTCTCTTAGCTACTTCCTGCTGAAAAGGGACGCTGTGGGTTTCAGGGTGAAGATCTTCTCTCACTACTCTAATAAAAGTCTTCTTAAAGTTGTTGCTGGGTGCCATCTAGTGAAGTATAACCCACAGCAATCCTACGAACAACACATCTGAACCCTGTCCTATCTTGCTCTATCCTCACACTTACCGACACATGAGAACCCTTTGTGGAAATTACTGTGTCAATCCACCTGGTTGAGGGTCTTCCTCTCCTTCACTAACCCTCTGCCTTCCCAAGTATCATGTCCCTCTCTCTACAAGGAAAAGCCGCTCCTAGTAACATGTCCAAAGTAAGTGAGGTGAACTTTTATCATCATTGCCTCCAAAGAGCATGCTGGCTGCACTTTCTCCAAGACATACTTGTTTGTTCTTTTGGCCATCATGGGATGTTCAGTATTTTTCTCCAACACCACAGCTCAAAGGCATCAAATCTTATTATGTCTTATTTATTTCAAATAGGAGGCAATATTGATTAAAAGAAAAAATTAAAACCTATGCCTACCTAACATAGTAGAGTAAAATATCTCCAACTTTAAAAAATTAATACCAAACAATTAATAAAAAAAATATTTTTGGAGTTTGAATGCCTCTCTGGAATGTCAGTATTTCCATCTGTTGCAGTCAAAACAGATGTCAGAAAATCAAAGGAGAAAAAAACCCCACAGAGAAATCTAGAAGCCATTGATGTCTTAAATCTACTGAAATTAGTAATTAACATTCAGGAATATAAATAACCTTCATTAGATCATGCTCAGCTGACTGGACAAAAATTATTTAGATCATCATGGTTGTGCAGATAAATTCATTTGTTAGAGCAGTTAAATTTTCAAAGCACATCTAAATACCTAATCTACATTCTCAAGCTTACTTTGAGTGCTAAGCATAGTATTTATAATGTATTAACTTATGCAGTTGACTAAACATTTGAATCCAATTTATATAATTGGCAATTGCTCAATTAATAGACTTCGTATTCAAATTTTTTTCCTCAGTGAAGGTCCAGCCAAAGAAATTATTATAGTCAGTAAGTTTGTTAAACATAAATACATAGAAAATAAAATTACTTTCATCTCGTGACCCCGGCACATCTGTGGTGTCTGTAGGAGTTTCCTTTGCTGATAAAGCTAGTGCAACTTTTAAGTCTCTCTGGTACAGCTTGTCATCTAAAGCCATCCTAAAACAGACACACAAACAATAAAGTTTTTAAAATATCAATCTCAATGGAAAAATAAAGTTTTGGATTTCCCTGAATCTCTATAACAGTTACTCTAACCTGACAAAAAAAGCTTTAAAATGATAATCATTACTATTAATTGATTTTGATGGTAAGACTCCTAAAATGCACAACTAGCATAACAGATTATGAATAGAAGTGTTATGTGCCTTTGCATTTGTTGTTTTCAGTCACTGTCACACTTCTTCCTACCAGCTGTGACTGGCTGGAAAGCACCTCCTCAGTCTGAAATAAAGAGACATCACTTCCTCTAAGGAAACCTCCCCTGATCTTCTGCTCTCTTTAGACCATTATTATAATCAACCAAACCCAAACCCCAACGCTGCTGAGTCCATTCCAACTCATGCTGGTCCTGTGTGTTTCAGAGTAGAACTGCTCCAGAGGTTTTTCTTGGCTGTAGTCTAGAAAAGCAGACTGCTAGAACTTTCTTCCAGGGCACTAATGGATGGGTTTGAACTACTTACCTTTAGGTTATGGTTGAGTGCAAACTATTTGCACCACCCAGAAATTATATTATTTATTTATGTGTGTGTGTGTGTGTGTGTGTGTGTATATGCATATATATGTATATGTGTGTGTATATATATCTATATCTATATATATATACATAGTGCGTCTGATATAGGACATGGTCTTTGCAATCGCTTGTTATGCATCAGAGAGCTGGACAATGATTAAGGAGGATAGAAGGAGAATTGATGCCTTTGAGCTGTGGTGCTGGAGAAGAGTATTGAGGGTACCATGGATTGCTAGGAAAACAAACAAATTCAT